ACCACAATAGTGGAGCAGCTTATTCAAGCTAAATTGTCTCAACTACATTTTGTCAACTGGACTTTCCTATCCCTGCGATTCGCAGGAAGATCACATTTGTGTGCAATGCGTAAGGTTTTCCGGTCATAATATTTTAATCGTCATTGCAATGCAATTATGCTTGTGTTGCCGATTGGAACATGCCATTATTGGTATACTAGGTTATGTGGGACATAACTCTTTTGTGTATCTATTGATTTATGTCCCAGAATTGTGAACAGATTAATGTTTTGACTACTGTACACACAAAAATTAGATATTTCACTGCATCAACTGAAGAGAGCATATTCTCAGAACTAAATAAGGATATTTCAGTACTTATTGATTTGTAATTTGCATCCTTGTCAACCACCGCTGATCACCTGTTAAGTAAATTAATTGTTTCGTCCACCTTATCACCGCGATATTTTAAGTTAAATGTAGCTAAAGAGCATTGTCAGCATACGTGCGACACTCTAGTTGCTACGGGCGGATTATATGTTTAAAAAATACCATAACTTTGCAGCAAGCCTGAAAGCAAATAGGGTTACAAGGTTTATGTTGCCAATTTCTTTAGGGCCTAGGAGCGCATAAAGCTTTTGTAACTTACCGAGGTAAAAAAACAAACTTCTTTTAGTATGGAGACCTGAACGCATGCCAAAAGTGTGGGGATATTTAATATGGTTTGTGTAATTAACCACTTATCAACAATGAAAAAGCGCTTTAATAATCAAAAACTTGATAAAGACTAATTCTTCTAATTTGGTATAATGTTGTTAGTGAGTATCTTTTAAAATTTGCAACTAGTAAAAGCATTTGCAGAACGTTAGCCAGGGCCATGACTCAAGGTAGGCGAAGAACCTAAAAACAACCGATGAAAGATTACCAATATTTCACCAGAAAAGTCGTCTACTATTAAACATCAATTTAATTTCGCTAATTTTCAGTATCACTTACTTCAAAAAGAGGGTTGTATCCAAACCAACAGCTTTGATTAATGTGGCTGATGTTAGTAACTTAGGTAGCAGGTAGAAGATGTAGGTACTACTGGCAAGGCTAGCGTGCGTCGCTGGGGTGCATCCGCAAAATAATTTCCAAAACCTAAAATCGCATAACCACACTGCCAGCCATATAATTGTAGCGTGCAACAAAGTGCACAATTTTAATAGTTCCAATTCGAAGTATTGTGCTCAATGTTCGCTGTTTCGGTTTTGGCTATCACACCGAAAAATCCTTCAGGATACCTAGCAGAAACTCCATAGCTCACTAGACAAGTAAATACTGGCTGGCATGTTGGAGACTGACCCTATCCCGTCTACCAAAACAAGTCTTGTATATTCTCCATAAAAGTGCATGGTCTGCGCTTGATATGCCCTTTTTGTTTCTATCTTCCTTATTTTGCACTAATTTTGCCACATATCCGCAGTTTGGGGCTAAATGTGGCTAATGTATCCCTCGGTGCAAATAAAGCTTACCTTAAATTTGTTTACCTTTAATAACTGGACAATAGCTGAGAGATAAATGGACTTACATTCATGCCTTATAAATGGCAATTAGCAGCTTGAACATTAATCTCCCTGCTGGTTTGTTTTGTGTTCCACTCGCGTCCAACTTCTGCCTTGGCAATGTCGCATTCATAGCATAATCATCGGCACAAACCCGTATATTTAGAGGCAAGATACTCAAGCAGTTTAAGAAATTGTCCACTTAAATAATACAAAACACCTACGAATCAACAGGCGCAGCTGCCATTTCCACATTAACATCAAGAGGTATCATATTTCAAATTGAGATCGCGCTTCCTGAGCCAATCACAGACATGTGGTTAAAAAACATCTACTCATTCGGTCGTTCTGTGAAAGCATGCGATGATCCAAATATCTGTAGTTTTACATATCGAATACTTCGGAAAGCCTAAGTATCCCTACATATTTAGCGTGTATTTTCAGTAAACCATAAATGTGTAGTAAAACATTTTGGACAAGCGTTTATGATAGGCATTACTTGGATCTCTGTCAATCAGAGATAATCATTTATATCTTGCTAGGTTGCACAGTAGAGCCAACTACTGAACTTGTGACAATATTTAGCGGCGTAACCGCCTACTAAGTTTTATACGAAAAGCAATACCACCGTATTAATTGTGTCGCGAAGACCTTCTCCTCCTGCTATTCTTCACATTAGGATTGTTTTCAGACTGCTTAGCGTCTGACATAAACAATATTTGTTCATGGTGTTCCTGAGCTTCTACATTCTTCTGATCACGATGCACGAGCTCATGACCGAGAGCAGTGGTGCTACACCCGCGAAGCACTCTCTGTAGACAACGTTATTGCCAAATCCCTGACAAGAGTTCCGTCATCACCTAACTACAATGGCTGCGATCCAAGGCTAATTAAAGTAATACTACACTGCGAGGAAATGACGCAAGTTCTGTTGGATAGCTGGTTAAAGTTTCGAGCTAGGCTGCCAACAGAGATCCGGCTAAAAGCAGCAGGCAAACGACCAAAAGTCGGAAACAATTCAACGGAACTTGCAAACGCAGCAAATTCCTTATCTGCACAGTTCTGCGGAGAGACCAACACAACTGCGCCCACAGCACACAGGAGGACCGAGCACAGCACCAGTGAAACGTCTGTTCAGGAACGCTTAATAATGCCATGCAACACGACTGAAATACGTAAACCAAAAAACGATTAATTGCCGACCACCTAACGGTCGGCTTAAAAGCGAACACAGTCTTGACATCTATCAATGAACTCCTAACAACAAAAGCCCTATCTTGCATGTATACAAACGTCCAAGGCCTTCTGAGCAAGTTGGCAGAACTTAGAGAACTCCATGCCTCACAACCGCGGGACCTCGTTATGATTACAGAGACATGGTTAAACCCTGAGATAATCGATTCTGAGATCAATTTACCCGGTGTCACTGCTTCGGACCGATAGAACCGGAGGGGGGCGGTGTGATTCTATGTTATAATATAAACCTCCGATGAGAAGTTATCGACCACCCGGAAATCCGAGCTCCCGATTCGCTTTGGTGCCGTCTATGGTTGCGAAACAAGGACACTTGGCTACTAGCCATGATTTATCGCCCACCAAACTCAACTTCGGAAATGGACTCCAAACTGAACCACGTTTTCCAGTTTGCTTTGAACAAGTCCTACACCCACATTCTTATCGCGGGAGACTTTAACGTGCATGACATAGAAACGCCGGCAACCGACGGTATGCAGCTGAAAGCCTGCTTGCAAGAGCTAATTGCAAGCCACCCTCTTTACAACCACGTAACCTCTCCCACCAGATTTCGAACTGCTAACAAGCCTTCGATACTGGATCTTGTGCCCACTAACGAAGAAGTCATGGTTAGCGGGATAATTACAAGCACACCACTGGGTCGTAGTGATCATGTTACTTTACTCTTCGACTATACTTGCTATGCGGAGTACCCAGAAACGGAGGAGGATAAAGTGCATACTGTCACACACTACAATGTGTTGTCTAAGCCTGTTAAGGATACGTCTTGGACTTTCTTAACCGAATGCCTCCCAGATATTGCCTGGGAAACATTTACACGGACATTTAGTACAGTGGTATTGCACGCATCAGAGCAGAAGTCCTTCCAACATAAAAACAAGCCTAATTCATTTCTGAGGAGCAGGACACGTAAATGTATGTCCCGGAGGGATTTGGCATGGCGAGATCACCAGGACTGCCCGAATGCCGAAACCTGGACTGAATACGTGACCCATCGTAACTTCTGTGTGAAACTGATCCGCGAAGACAAGGTCACTCATCAGCAGAAGTTAATGAAGCGATTCTGCATGAATCGCGAACTCCTGTACAGGCACGTTAACGGCCTTCGAAAGGTAAAGCGAGGGGTTCCAGCACTAGTCACGGCTGATGGGTGCACGCGGTCAGCAATGGAAGCAGCTGATCTCCTAAGGCTTCATTACTCCGAGCGACAGTTCTGGACGCAGCCTCTCCGTCGGTAACTTAACGCACTGTGATCGATTTGCGTCCATAGCTGGTTCGAGGCTGGTGGGCGCCAAGTCACCCTCCGGCGGGTGCTCTGTCGGAAATTAGTGCTCGCAAGAAATAAGCGAGCATCCTCACACTAATGAAGTAACCGCTCACCGTTATCATTGTGGGAGCCTATACCATGTCGGCCGCCCAGATTGCAGCTCATCTGTGGATGAATTTCCAACTTGAGCGTTCAGATCCCCAGCCAGCACTACAGAGTCCGAGCTTCTTCCGTGGCGAAGGAGTTCGTTTATTTGGCGATAGAAGTCGTCTTTTACTGAGTCATCGCTAAAGTTTGTCGGTGCATAGGCAGCGATAACGAATAGACACCTGTTAGTCCCATGCGACTTCGAAGTTTTGAACGAGCCAGCCGATCGGACCGCACATATCCGGCTACTGATTGGAATCCAACGCTGCATGTCTCAGGGTGTGTGCGTTGCGGTCGCATCAAATTTGGCTCTGTTACACTTTATCTAACTGTGCAAACACATTTCGTCTCTCAGTTGAGCGCAAATACTCATTCGATTCAGCCAAGCGAGTGCTTTTAATCGCACTTAAACACCTGGATATACACCTTACCGTTCTTCCTCCTTGATCTACTTACACTTTGAGTGGTTTCCGGGAAAACTCGTACGCGCGAAAATTCATTACCTGCGAGATCAACAAGGCTACTTTTAGCCACATTTTCAAGAGCATTCTGAGGGCTCTCTAATAAACCCTCATTCACCTCAATCGGCTGATGCGTAAGGAAGATATTGAAGAAAATTACCACCACTTATACGGTCACAGCTGAACCGCTTATAACCCGTACGAGGCCAACTTCGCACAAAACCCACCCAAATCACGCGTTTGCCGCGTTTGCCGCAACCCGATCAATAAAGACGCGCAAACCCCGCGCGTGTACTGTGTCCACCTGTGACTCATCGCGTTGGCAACATTGGACTGCGCGGTTGAACCCAACACGTGACCTGAAAGCGGTAAGCCCTAACTGCATGTGTTTTGTGTCCACTTAGCCAGGGCCCATTCTCCTCAGTGCTTCCATATTCGTTTCCGAATTAGTTATCTCGCATCGCTGCAAGCTACTCGTCCTTGTTTCAAACCCGTCGCTTAAGCACGCTTTTCCGTAACCCTGTCATTGACGGGAACTAGTTACTATGACTCCAACAAGATATAATCGCTCGAGACAAGCGAAAGTTAGCGTACCGGCCACTCCGCGAGTAACGCGAGTAAAAAGTAAAGCACAGAGAGGAAAACAAGACACTGCCCCCACAGTTGCCAGCCTCATTGAACAAATGAATGATAAGATTAAATCTCTTGAACTTCAACTAACTGAAATGAAACAAACGCTTGACTATATCGGACCGCTTAAAGACCATATAGCCTCTTTAGATTATATCTGCAACCCATCAGGAAAACTAGATCCGGCTCAAATGAATAGAGTAAGACAGCTTATCTCCTGTATCGCGTCTGAGGCTCATGAACGAACGCGTAGATTAAAAAATGCTATAGTTTTCAATATCCCTGATAAACTTAATTTGGCTAAAGTAAGAGCTACATTGATGAACGCTTGCAACATGACTAACGTCGAATGCAAATGTCTACGACTAAATAAGAAGACACCGAAACGGTGTTGCCCCATACTTTTTAAGTTTTCTCTCGAAGAACATGCACACCATTTCATGCAGAGTCAGCTCGCCATAACCCAGCATACTCCATTCAAAGACGTACTGGTTAAACCTGATCGGACACCTTTGGAAAGATCTCCTTCTGATCCTACTCCACAAACACCAAGAGCAGAGACAACATGCAGTCCGACTCTTCAGTTAATAACTCGGGATGATGGTATACTAGATAGAACAACTAGCTGTGTCGAAGTAGACAACGACAATGCATCTCCTGGCGTGGTAACATCAATAGCCTTTGCTTCTGGCTCCGGCACAACGCCTCAGTCAAGATCAGTGAAAAAATCTCTCACCTCTAACACCGAGGCTAGCTTCCTAATGGAATCGGATACCCCCTATATCGCACCTATGGCGAGACCTCAGCCTGGTGAACATTCAGTAAGCAAGGGCCCGAATACCAAGAAAAGAACCAGTCGTAAAAGTCAAGCTACACGCACAAGCGACCTACTAACCAACGGGAACAAAGTGCCGTCACAGACCGACATTTCATTCGCGGTAATGACGAGTGCTTACGAAGATTCACCAAATTCACGATCCTCGAATTCTTTCCACGCCACTTGTAACAAAACACCTCAGACCAGAAACACTACTTACCACACCAGTAAGACTGAAACCAGAAGGAATTATCTTCTGGACAAACCCACGCACCGCTATCCAGCATTTGTCAATAATACTCGAAACATTAATGACAGTAGGAAAAACTGGACAATGCAGCCCAGTGCCTCACCTGAGACCTACGCTGGAACCCATACTCCACCAGTTTCCTTCGATCATTTTTTAGGAGATGTGGGGATGGCTTCGCAGCCATTCCCAACAATAGCACATCCGGCCGATACCAACTTCATGGCCCAACTCTTCCTACAATTTATTCAGATGACACGGCTAGCTCAGTATCATTCCAACCAGAGCTTTCACCCAGCGCCTCATCATCTTCCTTACTCCAACTTCCGACAGAACTCACAAGGGATGCATTGTCCTTATCTCAGAACGTCATAGCAGTAGGCACGACTGCTTCATCCCTACACTCTCTTCCTCTGTCCACAGATCTCCATCCCAGCACTCTTGATACTTCCGAACCAAGCAGTGAACTCCTGTCCACTGACCCCGATAATACATCTATAACATTATTTAAGCAAGCACTAGAACTCGCTGATAAAACACATGCCATGCATGTCCTACTTATAAATGCACGTTCCCTCAGGAACAAAATAATTAGCTTAAGAACACTTGTCTCCCTCGTGAACCCACTAGCTATATTGGTCACTGAAACATGGCTAAAGGAGGATACCCCTGAGTCGGTTTACCATATCTCGGGTTACAAAGCTTTTATCGGTTGTCGTAAGTCTGGTCTAGGTGGTGGCTGCGCCATCTATGTTCGAAATGCTATTCACGCTTCGGTATCGCCTATCCAAACACAGGGACGATTCGAAGACTCCGTTTTTATAGACATTATAGTTGATAATCTTCTCATCATTATCGGATGCATCTACCTACCGCCCAATCCTAACCTCGTTGAGATAAGCGCATTACAGAGCGTTTTATGCCATCTCGCGTGCCAGTCCGCGAATCGCAAGATAGTAGGCGGGGACTTCAACATGCCTGATCTGTCGTGGTCCTCTAACGACGTCCCCAATAAGTTTAAAAGCTTCATCGCCACTGTGCATGTATGCGGATGGACTCAGCATGTCTCATCTCCCACTAGAAAGAATAACATATTAGATTTGTTTTTTACTATCGGCTTCACTGCAGCTTCCACCGAGATACTGGGACATCTTCCCGGTAGTGATCACAAAGTGATCTCTTTCTCATTCAGTGTCAATGCTCAGTTGTCAAAAACACCCTCATCAAAAACACATATGACTATCAGCTCCTACAAAACCGCTGACTGGGGCCTTTTTGCAAGCTTGATAAGATCGGCGCAGTGGGACACATTCTTCCTCGCTAGCGACCCTCAGACTGCAGCAGATGAGTTATATAACATCATCCATCGGTCAGTAGATGTGTCGATTCCGCGAAAGCAAATAAAACTACCTACCTCTGGAGAAAGGCCTACACAACACAAATTAGCTGTAAAGCTCAAAAAGTTGCTCAAGGCGTATCGTAAATCCAATGACTTCTGTTTCTTAATAAAGCACCAGCAATTGGTTACTATTAAGGAGAATGCCAATCAGGCCATGCTGATTGATAAAGAAAAACAAGCACTCGGTAGCCAAAATAGAAAACAGGAACTATTCAGATTGCTTAAGCGCAAGACCGCTAAACAGAACCTAGATGTTATCTCGCTTATGTCTGCAGATAAATGCTTAGTGAGTGACCCGACTTATACCAGCGAAATGTTCAACAACTACTTTGCTGCCTCGTTTAATGAATGTAGTGATCCTGCGACCCTGGATCTGCAACATCACACGAATGATCAACTCAGCAACATCACATTCAATCTGTGCGATATCCAAAAGCTCATAAAGTCCACTAAAACCTCCTATTTCACTGGTCCGGACAATCTCCCATCTGCTGTCATAAAATTCGGGGGAGATGACATCCCCTTGCTGCTACTGAATATGTTCACCTTATCTATGAATTCTGGTATCATACCGGCTCAGTGGAAGGAGGCCATAGTGATGCCCCGTCATAAATCAGGTTCACTGTACGACGTAAAAAACTACCGACCGATTAGTCACACATCAGTATTGTCTAAAATGATGGAGCGACATGTAAAGTCGAAAACGCTTGAATTCCTATTAACTCGAAACTTAGTAAACAATTCACAGCATGGATTCCTGAACTCCAGGTCCTGCATCACTTGTCACTTAGAATTTTTAAATCACCTTGTCAGTTCACACGATCGTGGCTTATCGGCAATCGTCATCTATCTCGACATGCAAAAAGCTTTCGATCGCGTACCTCATAGTCGCCTACTAGCTAAGCTCCAAACCTACGGTATAAAGGACCCCTTACTGGCTTGGTTTAGCTCATATCTCTCAGATCGCTCCCAGATAGTACAAATCCAACAACATAAATCTCAACCCAAGGCTGTTACCAGTGGGGTGGTACAAGGCAGTGTTCTTGGTCCATTGCTATTTCTACTTTACGTTAACGACGTCTTCAGCGTAGTTAAATGCGGCACACCTTATCTTTTCGCCGATGACATCAAAATAGTGTACTCCTTCCATCCTACCAACCTCAGAAATACTCTAATGGAAATCCAACTGGACCTCCATGCGCTTGAGGCTTGGTGCAACACATGGAAAATGTCTTTCAACACTGACAAATGTAGCGCGATGTTATACAGGTGCAATGTTAAGCACAATGCTCTGACCCTAGATAGCAAACCACTTACTATCTGTCAGACCATCTGTGACCTAGGGCTTCGCTACTCATATTCCCTTAACTTCTCAGAACAAGCATTTTATGCAACAGCCAGAGCTAAACAACGCATTGCATTACTATTCAAAAATCTTACTCTACGAGATTCAATTTGTTCAATGTATGAATCATTCGCCCGCCCTTTACTTGAATATTGCTCAATGGTGTATAGCAATTCCAGGAAGCATGATCGTATCGCTATAGAAAAGGTACAAAGAGCGTTTACAAAGCGCCTTATTGGTACGAGCTTAGTGTTACCCTATTCTGAGCGATGCGACTTACTTAAGCTTGACCCAATATGGCTTCGACGCCTAAAAGTAAACTTAGCACTTTTTTCAATATCCTGCACAAAAATGTCCACACCCCTAGCATTGATCTATCACTCATGAAACCAAATGGATACAATACACGCAATAGTGAAAATTCTGTGATGGTAAGAAGGTCAAAGACAAACATATCAGCAAACTTTTTCCTTAATCGGTACTCCCGTATTTGGAACAAATTGCCGACCGATATTCGTACTAGCACATCTGAGTATAACTTTCGTAGAAAGCTTGACGAATATCTTACAGTCAGCAATGTGATTATGCTCCTGCGCTGCCCTACAACTATTCAACAAACGTATGAACAAGGTCCAGACAACATATAACTGAAAGTTGCAATTGACTGTATCAGTCAGATCAACAAACACCCGTTGATTCCCTGCTTACCCTTCTCTTTTATTGCTCACTCCGGATCTGCCTGCCCGAAAGCTCACCGCTGATTAGTGGCTCCACTGATACATCGATGGGTTGGAGGTCCAGGCTTCTGTTATCCTCTTCATCCCATCTTGGCTCACTATACTTCCCCTTGATTTTACTTGGCTCCACTGCAACCATGTGTCAGTTGAATCACTGGCAACTTGGTTAGCTGGACTCCCAAGTCCGGTTAACTATCTCTCCAATCGTAACTTCACTTCCGTTTCACCCGCTGGCACACCTACCATTCGTTTGTGAAAGCACTGACGCTTTGGTAGGTAAAGCACCCGGATCCTTTCTTTACATCTTTAACCCACCTTGCTCCCCAACACTTAGCTTCGGTTTTCACTTGACCATATCTTGCTGGTGAATCAACCGACACATTGTCAACATCAATATGTTTGCCACTCAGGACTACTGTAACCTCGTAAACATATCACTGGCGTTCTGTTGGACCAATTCCCTGCATAATCAAACTCCTAGCGCAGTTAGCCAAACTACTAAAGGTTCGGCATTCTTGTTCACAGCCCACAACCCACACATCTTAAGTAATCCGAAATCCGTATTGCGCCTCCTAATTGTAAACAACATCTGCAATACAATAATAAGGTAGTTGCTTAAATATTTCCCTTTTATACTGTAGAGTAATGTGGACGTACTTTTCCCTGTTAGCCAGACCCATACTGCTGTTCCTTATGCTGTGTCCAGAAATTTGGTTGCGAGACCCTCCCCACACTATATTATTCTCGATTCCACACATGTACATAATTCCCTAGGAAGTTTTCGGCCTCCATCGCACTAATACTTACTAATACTTGCTATTTCCCTTCTATTTACATTGATCCGGACCACAACTCGTTCAACGGTACGATGAGATACTTGCTACCGAAGAAAGTTGGAGCTGCAGTTCCGACCGAGCTACATTCTGGTTATTTGGACAAGAATACATGAAACTCATGGCCCGATATGTGTGCAGATGGCTTGTGATTAATGCCGATATTCGACAGACTTATTCAAGATTTGTAGGCTGTGGCACAAGGTAAAATCTCAATTATCTGACTGCACGTCCTGTCAATGGCGTGTGAAACTGGCAGCTTGACAACATTGAATACCGCCGTCTCTTTCTCCAACAGTGCCATGCGCTTGTAATAAATAATTCTTAATTGTGCTTGCCCAAGTTATTTATCATTAATAAATCAGACGTGAAGTTTACTGCTCTTGCTCGAGGAAAAGTGTTTGTTTGCGAAGATACACCTTTGGCTATTGTGATTAATAATAGTTCTCATTTCACCACATCGGATGTTACTGATTAGTTACGGAGCCTTGGCAGCCGTCATCTGTTTATAACAATGAATATTGAAAAATGAATTTATATGAGTTAAGAAGCAATGCTTTAGATGTCCAGTTAGGTGGTACTGCAGGGTTATGTAAAAATTAAAAAAACAGTGAGTCATGGACATTTAAAATAGAGACCTAGACTTTGTATCGATGTAGTCCTGCCATCTGTGTAGTTTCACAGCACCAACAAGTAACAGCAAATAAATCCGAAGTATACTCCAGTAGTGAGCTATACCAGGTAACAAAATGCAGGTGAGTAAGTGAGTCATCCAAACGTCTCTTAAATATGGATAGGGCTGGTGCAGCGATGTCCGATTCTGGAAGAGCATTCCACGGGTGACACGCGGATGGGAATGAAATTCCCGCGGCAATTCAGACGGTTGTACTGTTCTGCCAGTTTTAGTGAGTGACTTCACAAGTTGGCATTACTACTGAGTTGAAGTAAAGAGCGGCGCGCATGATGTAGATAGTGGAGCATTAAGTACACTATTATCACGTCACCCCATTCGCTGCGGTGACGTCCGCTGAATACCCTCAATCGTTCCGGTCTGTCCTCGTATGGAAGATGTTACGTATCAATCACCTACTTGATGCTGGACGCTGGAGCTGCTCCAATGCACTAAGCTCGTGTTTTAGCCTTGGGTGCCAGTTTTGAATTGCATATTCTACATGAGGACGAACATACACATTAAGTATCTGCCGGAAAATGGAGCGATCTATTTGTCCGAACGCCTGTCCTAACGTGCCCACATGTTGGCTTTCAGTTTTGGAGATTTTCGCGGATTGCCTTGTACAAACTTGAACCAGTATGTCCAAATTACGTTCGGTAGCAGATCGCTGCAGCACATGCGTTCCGAGCCTGTAACAATGGTTGCTCTGGTGTCGAAAAGAGAGTACCTTGCATTTACTCACATTGAATTGCTGTGGCTTTTGGATATACCACTGACGTGCCATGTCGAGTTCACTCTAAAGCGGTCGCTGATCAGTAATCCTCCGAACCTTGCGTCAAAGCTTGACGTCATCAGCAAACAGCAGGGTGTTAAGTGCAATTGCCTGTGTGAGGTCATTGATAAACACCAAATCAATCGGGCAGCTAGCACCGAGCCTTGACACACACCACATTTAACTTGTATAGGGTCAGAGAAAGAGCTCCGAAAACTGACCACCAATTGCCGCTGAAGGAGCTAGTTGGTGATTCAGCTTAGAATAGTGTCACCAATTCCGTAACGTTGTAGCTTAAAAAGGAGTGTCCGATGATCTAGACGGTCGAATGATTTCGAAATCCAGCTAGATCACGTCAACATGCCCTTCAGCGTCAGCTGACTGGGTCCGGCTACTCTGTACTACTAGAAAACTTGCTGTGCACGATTTTTGTCGACGGAAGCCATGCTGTCCAGGAATAATAATGTAAGAGTTTTCCAAATAACCCACCAGCGCATCGAATATGATGGATTCTATCACCTCGGACAGTATGGGAAGAAGGGAAACTTGGCTATAGTTTGCAGCCTCTATTCTGCTTTCCCCTTTGTGAATAGGTGTTAGTATTATAAACTTCTACCAGGTAGGACCTTTGTTATGATCTAAGCAGCACTGAAAGAACTGAATCAGTGGCTCTGTCAGTTGATTCGCAGCTGCTCCCTGTACCTTTGTGCGAATAGTATCGACACCCGAGGATTTTGTGCCGGTGTAGAGTGGTCAGCTTCTGCAAGACAGCTTCGGTGGTAAAGGAGATATAAGTGAATCTCAGTAGCCGAACGATAAAAGCTGGAGGGGCTTTTGATGATAATACCCTCTGGAAGATGAGGGTATATTACATCCGCCGCGAGTTTGCTGCTTCCGAAGCCGTTCATGTTGGGTCATCAGCCGTTGTGCGTAGCGGAACACCTTGCTGCACCTTCCATTGACCATTGACGTTTTTTTACAGCAGTTTGTGCTTGGCGCCGATAACTTTTCCATGTTCTGCTGTTGCGCACGTTTATCCTCTCTGAGCCGTTGAGTGCAGTTACTTCTTTGAACTACGTAGTTATCCCAGCTTTCTGGTGGTGTGGATAATCTATACTCTCACTACGCTGCGTTGCGTACTGCCAGCAATCTTCGGGTTCTGCTCCTTACTAAGTAAATATTTCAGACTGTAAAGTATTTTCCCTGAAGAATCCGTTACCATCCGCTTGAATTTGTTTGCAAACTCGAGCCAGGCAACAACTGGGGGATCTTCAGCAAGGAAGAACTACTCGTGGCGTCAACGAAGTGAGCTACTCGGTAGTAGTATATGATGGTTCGCCCCGCCTCGCCGTCTGCATTTAGGTATACTGCATTTCTGATGAATCGGAAACTAATAACTGTATGATCAATGCCACCTAACAGTCAGTGTACAACTAACACATCAATCATATGTGCTTTGGTTGTAAGCACAAGATCAGGCAGAGATGGCCTATTACCTGTTCTGAACTAAGTTGACACAAGCTCATGATTATAAAGTAAAGTATTGATTACAGGATCATGCAGATCGGTGTTAACTTATTCTCCGCCCGTGGCGGGTGTTTCTAAATAATGCAAATCCAAATCACTAATGGTCAAGATGTGACTGTATCTTCCTTTTAGGGCTCACAGTAATGCTGTCGAAATTCGGTAGTCCGTTTCAGATGTCAAGTTAGGGGGACGGTACATCAAGGTTATACAGCAAGTGGCTCTGCCTCAGAACTGCAGGTGGCACCAAAGCGAATCAGAAATCAGCGAATCTGAATTCTCCAAGACTTCGCACTGTAAGTCGATTTGGTAATGCAGAATTAAGCCTTCTTTTGTCAATCGGTCATTCCGAATGAGTGACATGCCAGGTAGGGAAAATGCAACTTCCGTCATTGCAGTGTGTAAGCACATCTCCGTGATGCCGATGACATCATATTTCTTTAAGAGCTGGTTATCTTTCAGTTCGGCCAGCTTCTTCACGAAGCGCTGCGAATTCAAACTAAAGCAGGCTAGTTTATCGGTCTCCGATATACCACAGAAGGTCAAAGAATTCAGGTGTGTGGGATTGCCAACCAATATGCGGTCGGCCGTTATTCGTTTTTTAATGATACTGGTACTACTTCCGTACCTTACTCTGGCCAAGGCACTTCCTAACCCACATCTAGATCTAAGTCAGTATAGGGTAAAGGAGCAATGATCGCCGGTACGTCTGCTTTTTCAGATGATTTTATAACTGGATCTTGCGAAGCATCTGCAGTCTTTAACCGAGGTTCCAATGGAAATCACTTTCGATTTTTGCGCCAAATGGGTAACACATCCGTCGCTGCTTGCTCGCACTGAAACACGAGTTTTAGGTTTCTCGAGTCGCCTATTCTGCAGTACAGCGAGTGTACCAACCTTTTGATCGTTCGCGCCACCATATTATCCAGGGAAAAGATTCGCGAATGAATCACAATTTTTATAAATTGTGAGCTTTCGCCCATTGATTATTGTATGCAGGAAGCTGTGGCACAACATGGATGAAGATAGTGTTTAGGCGATCAGGCCTGCTGTGTCCTTCTTCGGAGTCTTTCGACTGTCGCATGTTTCCTAGAACATCAGGATTTACACCTATCTCACACGATCCAGGTTACAGCGCATTTGCGGAGAGCAGTACGTTTTCCACATCATTTCCGGATTCTAGTGTTACTCCAAGCACTCCAGGTT